TTCCTTATGCTTAGAAGATCATCTCTTGCCTCTTGATCCGAGTTTATACGATCCAGAAAGATAGACTGGGATAGTTTATCCTTTTAGTTCCCAACATCATCATTTTTTTTTTCGGATCACAGTTGTGTTATTTACTTGATCAATCACTATATCATGTGCGTGTTTTCATAATATTATGTACCCTTCAACTGATGCCACCTACCTTCTGTTTTGAAGGAAGCTTGCAGACAAACTTGCGGCTACTGGCTTTTTTATTGCGGTCCCTGACTTCTTTTACGGAGACCCTTTTGAATTAGGAGAGGACGGATTTGCCGCTCTCCCTGGCTGGATAAAACATCATGCACCGGTTGGTTCATATAAAATGTTTTAAGATTCTTATTGTGAAATTCTCTTTTTGGGGCAGTTTTAAATTGAAGATGCGTGTGGCTTCAGCTTGATTGTGCAAGTATTGTTGAAATGTTTCGCTCTTCTAAACAGGACAAAGCATTCGAAGATGCAAAACCAGTACTTGAAGCTTTAAGAAGTAAAGGTGCTTCTAAAGTTGGTGCTGTAGGATTCTGTTATGGGGTTGAGCTCATTTTCCCTTTCTGGTGGATTCTTCTCTTTACTCAATAATTTATGTTCCGGTTTCAGTTTAATAGAACGTCTCATGTTTCTACAATTTTTTTTCTTCTTTTCGGATTGTTCATCCTTAATTTATTAGTTCAACTTCAACCTATGGGAAAATGTTTCGGTTGACATTGAATCATTTGTGCTGTTTTCAGCCAAGGTTGTGGTTGAACTTTCAAAGCATGACTATATCAAAGCTGCTTCTTTGTGTCATCCTTCATTTGTCACTCTGGATGATATCATGGGTAAGATTTCACTATTTAATATTCAAGAAATACTTAGTGTAGGTGTTAATTTAGACGAACACATACCTAAGTTTTCTAAGTGTGTAAATAGAAAAATAAAACCAGTTCGGTCTGAGTTTATTGATATATTCGTGGAACTAAATTGCAGCGGTTAAGGTTCCCACTCAAATACTTGGAGCTGAGATTGATGGTACGTCTCCACCTGAACTCGTGAAACAATTTGAGGAGGCTTTAGCTGCAAAGTCTGAGGTAGGAACTAGGAAATATCTTGACCGAAAGACTCTTCAATGATTTCAATGTATTTGTTGATTTTAGTCATGGACATCCCTATAACCCTTGAGATGACTTCGGGTTTAGTCGTTCTCATTCTGTCATGGGTTATTGGTAGAACTACGTCACGAATTATAGGTCGAACTTGCCCTTACAAAACCAAAGGTCTTAGACATTCTACCTTCTTAACGTGGCTCTGTTTCTTCAATGTTTCGCGTTATGTATTTGGAATGACTCTTGGTTTTATGGAACCACAGATTACAAGCCAAGTGAAGATATTCCCGAAAGTGGAACACGGGTGAACCACCAGGTACAACGTTGAAGATGAAGCAGCTTGTAAGGCTGCCAAGGAGGCTTATGAAGATTTGATGGAGTGGTTCTTGAACCTTCTTTACTGTGAAGAGGCTTTTTCTGATATATTAGAATAATTTGAACCCTATCGTATCGTATCAACTGCATCCTATTTACTGAGAGATTTTTCAATATGACCGTCACACAAGGCGGTATATCACATGTCTTTATGTAAGTGGTTGGATATGTGTGTTAAAAGGTTAATAGCTTAAAAATTAAAATTTTCCACCATTTACATAAAAACACATGGTGTACCATTCGTATTCCGGTCACAACTAAAAATTTTCCCTATTAACTATGGACCACAGTAATGCCCGCATTTTTATGTGCAAATATGTGTGTAAAATTTGTCGCTTGGAAGGCTAGAGGTTTGAGAATAATATGGTGCTTTAAAGTTTGGAATTTGGTTAGTGGTATAATTCTTGTTCAGACGTGTGATGATGTGGATTAGTGCATCATAAAATAAATAAATTTTGTTATTTTAAGCCAATTATCGGAACAAAACCACACATTAAACTATTTTATGTAATACAAGAGATTTTCTGGATAATTGCGGAATGTGAGTAACTGTTTAATTCGCACAAGTCAGTCAACTTTCTTGTTGTACTGCTTTTGGAGGGACATGACATGGATCCTCTCCGGATCCATTGGTCCTAATTCATTAAATTTTGTAATCCGGATAATTAAAAATTAATTTAACAGATAAAAATTATTATAATTTTTAAAATGAATTCATATTTATAACATTTGGATCAAATTTTAATAATCCAAATTACGAGAGTTGCAGATTAGGACCAATGGATCCGGAGGGATCCATGGCCCTTTTGGAGTGTCACTGTCATGGCCTTGGAGTCTTGGACTGCGGTTATTAGTTATTCTCCTGAACTTCAGGCTTAGGTCATTCATCCCGTCAACTCAAAAATAAAGAATTGAATAAATTAACAAATATCGAATTCCGATGAATCTGCTGACCATGAACAAATTTCCAAATTTTTTACGTACCAGAGAATTATTTCCCATTTATAAAGCTGTGCTAGCTCAATCAAACACTGACAAAGAGCGTTTGTGTTTGTGAATTCAGAGAAAAAGAAGAAGAAGAGAGAAATCATGGCAAGCTCAGAATGCTGCTTAAACCCACCAGCCGTGAACCCGTCCAGCGGTTCCGGCCATGTCAAAAAGCTGGGCCGGTTCGATTCCTAGGTCGCTGGCTCCCTGACTCCAAGCTTTCAGTTCTTATCGTCCATGACGCTTTTGGTACTTTACCCACCACTCCAAAAGTCTTTTTTTTTTAACTTGTTTCAAAAATTTGTGTTTTTTGTTCAGTTTATGATTTGAGTTTGTGAGTTTGAGTTGTGTGTGTGTGTTTTAGCTTAATGGGTACTGGTTTTTAGCTTGTGTGAATTAATGGGTGCAAGAATTGCACGTCGGATAATTGATAAAATTAATCTAACCTACATATGTTGAGGGGTTTTACTTCTAATTATATCGAGGTCGTATGTATCTTACTATCTCTTTTACGGTATGTCAGCAACGAACTGCTGACTCGTCTTTCTAAAATCTTTAACACTCTACATATGTTTGATTAATTGATGGAGGAATCTGTTTTGACATTTTCGTTTTCCTTTTGACTTTGTGGGTGCTGTGCTTATGTTTGATTAATTGATCAACTATTTACTTGTTCCCCAATTTCTGTTCTTTCTTTCTTCTGCTTTTGCATGATTGATGTTCTTTCTTTCCCAGTTTGCTTCCAATTGGGAATTCGAATAGGCGTAATTGATATTCGATCCTTCAAACCATGTCTCTACTATACAGTTGCTTGCTGGTATTCTATCAGCAAACTACTTGTTCATGTTACATTTTGTCACGCCCCGATCCCAACGTATGTCTAAGATCAACACGTGACGTCACTAAATACCCGTATATCTAACATACTCAGTCTCCGAGATATGGACAAAGCACAACTCATGATTCAGATTGGCTGCATCTAACCTTCTCGTTAGACTGCGTGCGTACCCTAAATAGGAATCAAGCCATTTGTAGTTCACTATTTGTTAAACTCTAAACTTTTCGTAAAATACTTCCTAGCAAAAAACATAGAGTATCACACTACACATCAATCATAAGCCCAACAAGTGTTGTCATCATGCCATTCACACACACGTGTGTTTTCCAACACCATTCTACAATCACATCAATCAATAACACATACAATACACCAAAATGTAAGGCTAGAGCGACACAGTTCGACTGAATCCTACATCTTTGAAGAATGTGACCACTCAACAAAATCCAACAATATCGGGTTCTGGACTACTCAACGGAACCAAAATACCAAATGGGATTATGGACCACTCAACATAATCCAAACCAAGATACGATTCCGGACCACTCAACGGAATAGCAGAGTAGAAGGGATTCCGGACCTCTCAACGGAATAGCAGAGTAGAAGGGATTCCGGACCTTTCAAAGGAATTCGAGTGGATACAATTCCAGACCACTCAACGGAATCTAGACGGAGCAAGGAACCGGACCACTCAACGGAACCCTGTGGAACCTAGTTTCGGACTCAACGGAACCGAACGGAAGTCCAAGAACATAACAACGGCTCAAAGAAACAAAACATGAATCAAGTGCTCAATTTACAAACGCTTAACGAAATGAAACAAAACCAAGTACTAAATTTAGAACAGGTCAACGAAGCGAGAAATGAAACAATATCGAAGCAAACAAAATCTCATGACAATGGGTTAACGATCCACTACTAGCCCTTGCATTTCACAAACAATCCAACATGTATTTCAAATCACATGTTAAACCCCACCCCCAAATAATTGTAATTTCATAATTTTCCCCTAGAGTTTTATGAAATTTGCATTTTGGTCCCCTACTCTCATCCAATTAGAATCCCCTTTTCAGATTTTCTAAACTTCTCCTCCTCTCATTGCCTGCCACGTGGCAGACCCTCAACCCTCCTCTCACAGTCCGCCCACTGGTCATCCACAGTACCCACCCTGTTTGAGTTTTAGTATATAAGATATAATCTTACAAAGGATAAAAATTAGTATTAAAATATGGGTGAGTCATATTTAGAATAGAGATGTGATTGTGTAAATCCTGGTGAATTTATGAATATCTCTTATATTCCTATTATGACCTATTTGAAGTTGTAATTCTAAAAAGGTAAGGTTTTTTCTATCCTAATACTATAAATAAATAAAAGCACAATAGTTTGATACAAACACACCTCACAATTAAATCACTATCTCTTTTCTCTAGCTACCACCGGCCCACTCTCTCTCTAATCCCTTATATTAGTTCAATCAAATAGGCCTACTACAACAGGTGAGAATATAAGATTAGGTTTCCTCTTCCTCCCTAAATCCTAACCTTTCTTTCTAATCAACCAACGAGTCAATTCAACTCTTTGTTGACGTGGCTTAACTGTGACCACATAAATAAGAGTGAATGGGATGGGAGAGGGCAGACAAACCAGGTCCCTGTCCCTAACCACCCTATAAACCATTTGGCCAGATTAGATTAGCAGACTGTTTGTTTCAGAGAACCACAAAAACAAAAACAAAAATGTCAGGCCCTCAGTGCTGCTCCCACCCACCAACCCTGAACCCATCGAGTGGCTCCGGCCACGTTGAGAAGTTAGGCGGTCTCGACACCTATCTGGTCGGCTCCCCGGACTCCAAGGTCGCCGTTCTTCTCGTCTCTGATGTTTTTGGTACTTTCCCAACTCCCACCACTTCAAAAATCTCTGCTTTTTAATTTGGTTCAGTATTTTCTGCAATTTTTTTTTTCCATTTTATGGCATGGGTTTAGTTTCTTTATCGTGTTTTGATTGGTCTGTACGTGATTCTTGTTTAAAGGGTATATATTTTTAGGGCGTTTCTGTTAATTCGTGTTATGTCACTGATACTACAGTCTAGCAATATTACTTGACTGAGGTCGATACTTAACTATTATGGCGGGCCTATTGTATAGTTTGGCCGAAATACCCCGCTCAGCAGAAAATATCATAGTTTGGAAGAAAATTTTAATAGGTGCTATAAATATGTATCTAGCCTCAGTCATAACAAGGAGGATCTTTGTAACTGTATGTCATATCAGAGCATAGTTTGTTTGCCTTTTAGTGTGTTTCTTTCTCCTGTTTCTGTTCCTTCCCCGATCAGTACTGTAAAATTGCTTCGTATGAGTCTATGACGTTGTATCAGCACATCACTGTTAATTTAACATGTTTATTGTTCTGTGCAGGATACGATGCTCCAAACTTGAGGTATGACTTGTTGCATATCCGTTTTGCTACAGCTCCTTTATTTTTGTTGCACGATGTGATGGATTGGTTCTCTGAATTGCAATTTTCGTGAATTTAAACCTGCTTGATGTCTTGGTGGACACTTTGAAATAAATACTTGTCGTTAAGGGAAAGAATGAGAAAGATTGTAATAGGTTACATGCAACTAAATTTTCAAGTAGTTACAACCATTAGTTTAAGATCATATATCGGACGTAGCAACTGTCGAGCTCCCTACTTTTGAAAATGGTATTTCCTTATGCTGAGAAGATCACCTCCTGTATTTTGATCCGAGTCTATGCGATCTAGAAAGATAGACTGGGATAGTTTATCCTTCTAGTTTCCAACATCATTAAAAAAAATATTTCGAAGCACAGTTGTGTTATTCACTTGATCAATCACTATATCATTTGCGTGTTCTCATAATCTTATGTACCCTTCACCTAATGCCACCTACTGTTTTGAAGGAAGCTGGCAGACAAACTTGCAGCTGGTGGTTTTTTTGTTGTGATCCCTGACTTCTTTTACGGAGACCCTTTTGTACTTGGAGAGGAGGGATTTGCCGCTTTCCCTGGCTGGATAAAACATCATGGAACGGTTGGTTCTCTTATCATGCAGAGATCAAGAAATTGTTGACTGATTTATAATTGAAATACTTTTACAAGTATCCCTTTGTGATTCTTAAATTCACATAAAATGTTAAGATACTTATTGTGTATTCTCGTTTTGGGGCTGTTTTAAGTTGAAGATGCATGTAGCTTCAGCTTGGAGGTCCAATTATTGTTGTTGTTTTTAAAGTTTATATGATCGTTTCCACCTCTGACACGAAAAAATACCTGATTTTGTGGTGTTTTATATCCAAACTGTTGATTGTGCAAGTATTGTTAAAATGTTACGCTTCTAAACAGGACAAAGCATTAGAAGATGCAAAACCAATACTTGAAGCTTTAAAAAGTAAAGGTATTTCTGCAGTTGGTGCTGTAGGATTCTGTTATGGGGGTGAGCTCATTTTCCCCTTCTTGTGGATTCTTCTCTTTATTCTATAATTTATTAGTTCATTTTTCAGGTTAAAAGAATGTCCTGTCTTTCTACAATTTTTGTTTCTTTTCGTATTGCTTTTCATCCTTAATTTATTAGTTCAACCGATGGGATGCTTCCTTTGACATTAAATCATTTGTGCTGTTTTCAGCCAAGGTTGTGGTTGAACTTTCAAAGCATGACTTTATCCAAGCTGCTGCTATGTGTCATCCTTCATTTGTCACTCTGGATGATATCAAGGGTACGATTTCACTGTTTAATTTCAAGAAATATTTAGCTAAGTAGTGTAGGTGTCAATTTAAACGAACACTAAGTTTTCTATCATTTACGCTAAGAAAGTGTAAATAGAAAAATAAAATCTGTTCGGCCTGAGTTTATTGATTTATTCCTGGAACTAAATTGCAGCGGTTAAGGTTCCCACTCAAATACTTGGCGCTGAGATTGATAATATGTCTCCACCTGAAGTCGTGAAACAATTTGAGGAGGCTTTAGCTGCAAAACCTGAGGTAGGAAATATCTTGATCCAAACACTTTTCAATGATTTCAATGTAGTTGTTGATTTTAATCATGGACATCCTTATAGCCCTTGAGATGACTTCGGGTTTAGTCGTTCTCATTCTGTCATGGGTTATTGGTAGAAATATGTCACGGATTATAGGTCGAACTTGCCCTTACAAAACCAAAGGTGTTCAAGGGCTTATATATTATGCTTAGATATTCTGCCTTCTTAATGTGGCTCTATTTCTTCAATGTTTCGCGTTTATGTATTTGGAATGACAGTTTGGTTTATGGAATCACAGATCAAAAGCCGTGTGAAGATATTTCCAAAAGTGGAACACGGGTGGACCACTAGGTACAACGATGAAGATGAAGCAGCTTGTAAGGCTGCCGAGGAGGCTCATCAAGACTTGTTGGAGTGGTTCTTGAACCATGTCAAGTGAATGGTATCGTCATTACTGTGAAGCGTTCTATTTTCAGTGAAGGACAAGAATAATTTGAACCTTATCGTCCCAACTGCATTCTATTTACTATGAATCAGAACACTGTCTGCAATTTTATGTGCCAATATTTGTGTGTAAAATTTGTCGCTTGGAAGAGTAGAGGTTTGAGAACAGCGTGGTTCTTTAAGGTTTGGAATTTGCTGAGTGGTATAATTCATGCTCAGACATTTGATGATGTTGATTAGTGCTTCATAAAGTAAATTTTTTTTGTTATTTTAAACCACTTATCAGAATAGAACCGCACATTAAGCGATTTTCTGTAATACGAGAGAAATATTTTTTGGATAGTTGCGGGATGCGAGTAACTCGTCAACATGAACAATACTCAGTCGAGTGTCTCGGTGGAGTGCCATGGACTTGGAGTCTTGGACTGCGGCTTAGGTCATTCCTTCCGTCATCTAAAAAATAAGTCATTCCTTTCGTCATTTAAAAAATAAAGAATTGAATAAAGGATTAAGTACCCAATATCAAATTCCGATAAATCTATTTTACCAGTAAAGAATTTCCCCCCTATAAATATAGCATCTGCTGTCGTAGCTCAATCAAACACTGACTGAGTGTGTTGGTGTTTGTGAATTCAGGGAAAGAAAAAAAGAAAGAAATCATGGCAAGCTCTGAGTGCTGCTCAAACCCACCAGCCCTGAACCCGTCCAGCGGCTCCGGCCACGTCGAAAAGCTCGGCGGTTTCGATTCCTATGTCACTGGCTCCCCTGACTCCAGGCTTTCAGTTCTTCTCGTCCATGACGCTTTTGGTACTTTACCCACCACTCCAAAAGTCTTTCTTTTTTTACTTGTTTCTAAAGTTTGCGTTTTTTGTTCAGTTTATGATTTGAGTTTGTGAGCTTAATGGCTTCTGGTTTTTAGCTTGTGTGAATTAATGGGTGCAAGAATCTCACGTCGGAAAATTGACAAAATTAATGTAACCTATATATATATATATATATATGTGGTTGTATATCTAATTATATCGAGGTCTTGTCTATCTTACTATCTGTGTTACGGTGTGTTAGTAATGGGCTGCTGAGTGTCTCTCTAAAATCTCTGACACTGTTGCATATGTTAGATTAATTGATGGAGGAATCAGTTTTGACATTTTCCTTTTCCTTTTGGCTCTGTGCATTTGTTTGATTAATTGATCAACTATTTACTTGTTCCCCAATTTCTGTTCTTTCTTTCTTTCTTCTGTTTTTGCATGATTGTTGTTCTTTCTTTCCCAGTTTGCTTCCAATTGGGAATTCGAATAGCGTAATTGATATTCGATCCTTCAAACCATGTCTCTGCTATACAGTTGATTGCATTGCTGTTCTATCAGAAAACCACTTGTTAATGTTACATTTTGTTTGGCAATGCAAGGTATGAAGCTCCAAAGGCTAGGTATGACTCATTCCCACATCTGTTTTCTACAGCTAATTCATTTGTTTTGAATAGCTTGGCAGATAAGTTCTTCAAGTCGCGTTTTCTTGGATGACTTGGAGAACACTTTTGAAATTAAATACTCAAAGTTACATTAATCTTCAAGGGAAAAAAAAAAGGCTATAATAGGTCTAATGTAACTACATTTTGAATCGGATTTTATATCAAATACCCGTTCTGATGCCCTTTTCGTGACGCTTTCAAGGTATGATAGTTGGTCCTTCTAGTTTCCAACACCAGAAGTTCTTGTTTTGAAGAACAGTTGTGGTTTTCACCTGTATCACTATTAACTTCGTAAGATTGTCATATACGTTTAACTAATGCCACCTGCCCTTCTCTTCTCATTTCCATTTTTTAGTGTCAGCTCTGTACAATTGTAAATGATAGTTGGTCGGGCCCTTCTAGTTTCCAACACCAGAAGTTGTTGTTTTGAAGAACGGTTATGGTTTTCACCTGTATCACTATTAATTTTGCGAGATTGTCACATTGTCATATACGTTTAACTAATGCGACCTGCCCTTCTCTTTCAAAGGAAGCTTGCAGACAAAATTGCAGCTGCTGGGTTCATTGTTGTGCTCCCAGACTTCTTCAACGGAGACCCTTTTAATGGGGACCATGCCTCTATACCCGTTTGGAGAAAAACTCATGCACCGGTTGGTTCTTTTGTATTGATGCAGATCTCTAAATATTTTGTTTATTTGTAATATAAGTCCTTTCACAAGTATCTGTATGTATGTGATTCGTGAATTTACTTAGACCTTGGGAGACATTTCTTTTCAGCTGGGCAGCCCCAGCGTCATTGTTTTGGGCTTCATATGGTCTTGAATGATAGGATGTTTCCGCATCTCGACTATTGTGACAAAATGTCCAAGGACCTTATATATTGGTGTTTTAAAATTTGATATGGAATTGTCTAGTGCACGAGTGCCGCTAAAACTGAGCTTATGAGCCTGTTTTCATGTCGATAGGAAAAAACAATCGAAGATGCAAAACTGGTCATTGAAGCTTTAAGAAGTAAAGGTGTTTCTGCAATTGGTGCTGCAGGCTTCTGTTGGGGCAGTGAGTTCATTTTCCTGCACTCCGTTATATATATCTATTTACTGTTTCATTAGTACTCTCCCAGTTTAACAATGTCTCATACCAGTAAGTGCTCATTTGCCTGCTCAATTCGTTACGGCATAGGTTGTTTCATATGACATTTGAATTATTTGTGCTGTTCTTAGCCAAGGGTGTCATTGATCTTGCGAAGCATGACTTTATCCAAGCCGCTGTTCTGTGTCATCCTTCATCTGTCACTCTGGATGATATCAAGGGTACGTTTTCTGTAATTACAGCCAAAATGTTTCTCCACACCCACTTCTCTCTGTTCCTACAGCAAAATTTAAAAACGACAACAAACCTGTGTTGCACGATTCCTGTGCAGCCCTGGCTGCCACGTCTCATGGCTGCACAGTTTAGCATGAAAAAATGGTTGTGGGGGATTTTGGCAGTGAATGTTTTCTACACATTGAAATGGTCTAAATATAGCACTCTAATTATTGTTTTGAGTATGGAGATTTTAGAGGAAGAGAAACAAAACGTGGTATTACAATTCTTTCAAGAAATAACAAAAGTATCGTCAGATTATTGATCTGTTCCCGGTACTACTTTCAGCTGTTAAGGTTCCGATTTCTGTACTTGGAGCTGAGATTGATCAGATGTATCCACCCGAAGTCATCAAACAATTTGAAGAGGTTTTAACTGCAAAACCTGAGGTAGGAATACTCCTTCATTGATATTGATTTTGATTAATGCAGACTCCTTATAAGTGACTGTCTGTGTAATGGAATCACAGATTAAAAGCCATGTGAAGATATTCCCGAAGGTGGCACACGGGTGGACGTTGAGGTACGACGATGAAGACGAGGCGGCTGTCAAGGCGGCTGGGGAGGCTCATCAAGATTTGTTGGGGTGGTTCTTGGAGCATGTCAAGTGACTGGAACCATCAATGCTGAAGTGTTTTATCGTCACTTGGGAAGACGCAGTTAGTTTGGAGTACCTTAAATCCTCTTATCAATTGCTTTTTATCTCTAAGCGGTGGATTGTCCTAGTGACTGGAGCATTCTCTTTTAACCCACTACTTCCCGTGTTCAAACACTCATCTCAACCCATATACTTAAGTCAATAATTCAGCTTTGGCGAGTGATGGATTGCAGTCTTTATTTATGTTCAACCCACTATATCGCAATTTAAAATTCTCTTATTTCTTTTTTAGTACAATTTAGAGAAGTAATATTATTTATAAGGCTTAATTGTAGCAATGATTTCTAAACTACCTCTAGTTAAATTTTAATCTTTGAACTCTGATATTAATTTTTTTGCTCCTCGAACTTAACAACGTGTTGCACCATTGGTCCTTATCATTAATGCTGTCGATTTTTCCATAAATTAGGAGTATGTTTGAAACTTCATCCCATACCCACATCACTGAACATGAATTCAAAAATGAGAAATGAGAAAGAAAAAAAAAAGGCCTAAGAAAATCAGATTTTTTATTGTACAAGAAAATTAAACGCATGGAAATTATTTTTGTAGTTTAATATGTGATTTGTTAGTTGTTTAAGTCCAGCCAGAGTTCGATCTTCCACCAATTATGAAACAAAAACAAAGTGTTAATTTGTGATTTAATTTTATATGGCTGGGCTGTCCAATGATGAAAAAGAAAAACATAAATACAGAACTGAAGATAAAGTAGTTCGGAGATCCAATTCATGATTATAAAAGATTATGCTTTGGAGATCCCATGTGATGCACACATGCACCTGGGCCGCCCGCCTGGGTAATGCGAATTAATGTTAGATTACTATTAGTACATTAATTACCTCTTAATTTCTATAACCAAAATAAGAGGTCTACTTATCAAAAGATCAATAATTTTTTAAGGAATTGTTATTGGCATTTTAAAATTATTATTGTGCACTTCAAATTTTCTGTATGTAAAATGAAGAATATATTTGTGAAGAATGCACAATAAGATTTTTAAAATGTCAATTTGTATATGAAACTTTAATGACGGTTAGGCTAGGCCTAGGTAACGAGCATTAATTATGTGCACACTTTTTCTTTATCTATTGGTTGTTGGTTGCGAAGTTTGAAAGGAGAACGTTATCCTTCAAAATATTGATCATAATCTCTACTAATTAATAAAACCCTATTTGTCAATCAAAAGAGAGTAAAAAGACAACTTAGTCTTCTATCACACAAAAAAATGATAGGCAATAATGTAATTTCACATGTCCAAATTTTATTATTTTTTATTCAAACCTCAACTACAGATGAATCTCTAATATTAAAAATTAAAAATAAAAAATAAAAAACCAAAAACAAAAACCTCCCACTCCCCCCCCCACGTTCTCTCTCTCCCTCTCTCATTCTCATTTTTTTTTTTAAATGTGTTCATACACACAAAGTGTGTAGGCAAATGCTAGTACCTTTCAAGATGAAAGCCATGTAACATCAACTTGTAAGATCGAGGGGAGATTTTTGTGTATCTTCAATTGTAAGTATTCACTGAGAAAATTCATCAAACACTTTGTGGGTTTGTTATCGTTAGTCAAATTTTGTTATGTACATGTCAACAAATATCGGTATATGCCCAAACAATCTGAATGGTGATACCGGAATCTGTTCAGTGCTATTGGCGCAATCTGTCAAGTTATACCTAGTAGACATTACATCAAACACTTCATAGACATAAAAGAGACGCGTACCAAATATTCAAAGAGTCTCAAAAAATCTTTACATGTATATTTTTCGGACTCTAAATGTATATTATCTTGGTAAACCAAAAAATAAATAAAAGCCCAAACTGAATGGCAAAGAGGTCTTTTTACCACAAATATAGTTTATATGCAAGGGGTGTGATATCCACACACCCCATTTTACTTTTTACACACCTTTTTAATTTTCGGCCGTTAGATCGGATGAATTAAAGAAGATCAACGGACAGAAATTATCAAGGGGTGTGTGAGAAGTAAAACGAGGTGTGTGGATAGCACACCCCTATATGCAAATCGCTCTCTAAAATTATTATTTTATCAGAAATAAATAATGCAAAATAATTGCCATCTTTAAACATTATGCTGTTTTCTCAGTTTAGTAATATTCTACTGTTCTTCTCTGTCCCTATATCTCTTCGCTCCAAAGGCTCCGACTTGGAGTACGCTGTTCTGCGGTTCTCTCTCTCCCCTTTCTCTTCGAGATCCAGAAGCACTTCCACTCAGAAATCTCCAGTCCAATCTGCACATATTTGCCACTTCTTCAACTCCCAATTCTACTTAATCCAAAAGCACTTCTACTCTGCTCTGGAAGAACCCATTACCTTTTTCTCCAAAATAATCCTTTTTTTTTGTTTTATATATATTATCTGGAAAACGTTAGAGATTACCGCCTTCTTTAGATCCTCCAAAGTTAGTTATTTCCGTTGGATTGCTTAGCAGAAGTCACACTTAATCTGGAAAATATTTGTTTCCAACTAAATTGGATACTTCCGCTAAACCATTTTAGCTGTCTCTTTTTGGACTAAAGCTCTTTGCTTTGCTCTCACAACATCAGAATTGGAATTGGGTTTTTTCAGTATTGTATTGGGTTTCAGATTTTGATCATTAGTTGGTGATATTTTGGAGATTTGGTCATCCGGGTGTTTCGATTTAAGTGGGATTTGGGTAATATTTTTGCTGCTTTTTTTGATCTGGGTCTGGGTTTTTTTTAAACCCAAGTGTTAGATGCACCTGTTGGATTGCTGCTTAGAAACCCTTTGGATGTTTTGTTGCTAAGATGCAGTCTGATCAAAGGAAAAAGGTAAATTCAATTACTTCTGATGTATTCCTGCAAAAATGCAAAACTTTTCTGATGTCCTTTTGATGTTTGCAATCATATGTTCATGTTGGTAGTTATTGATGATTTTATTGGAAGATTTGCTATTGCATTTGTTAATTTATTCACGATAATTCTTATTTACTTTGTGGTCCATGCTTAGTATATTTTTCTGCTGTATTATGCTATTATTTTTATATATGGACTGAACAGTGTGCCATGTTTGATGTCTCAGTTCTATGCCATTTTCTTCTGTGCATTTTTCTGTCAGGGAAAAGGCCCACTTTAATGTATTTGTCATATGAAGCTGTTGCTCAGTTTTCGTTTTGTATTGTAAAACATTTTATGGGTAATTCATGGACTAAAGGTTAATCAAACTGAAATACAAGACTTGCATAAGTTGCTTTTATGCTTAACATGTGCATCTCTGTTTTACTCAACTAATAAATAGTCAGTATCATTTACAAATCTTCTGTTTACATTTGTTGCTGTTTACCTCCTGTATAATGATAAACACTAGTAGTCTTCAGTAAAAATATAGAGGGAAATATTTCAAGAATATAACTAGTGGGTGTTCATCTTGGCTCCATGATGCTCTTACTGTGACATATACTAGGGTAGATTGGCATGATTTTCTTTGCATTTCAGTTATGCTTGATGCAGGGAAATAATTCCAAACATTCTTTCATCATCTTCTACTTAGATTTGCAAATGCGAATTATTCGGTGTTTTTGGTCTCGTTTAACATTGTAGTGTTGTGGAGGGTACAGACCAACTGTTTCCATTTGTGAATCATTTCAATTGCATACTGACCTATCTTATGGTTTTGGGTTGATGAAATGGTATGTTTATGATCATACAGTCATCTGCAGATGTGGACTTCTTCACAGAATATGGTGAGGGTAGTAGGTATAAAATAGAGGAAGTCATTGGTAAAGGAAGCTATGGTGTTGTTTGCTCCGCATATGATACACATACTGGAGAAAAGGTTGCGATAAAGAAAATAAATGATATCTTTGAACATGTATCGGATGCCACCCGCATTCTTCGCGAGATTAAACTTCTTAGGCTCCTACGTCATCCTGACATTGTAGAGATCAAGCACATCTTGTTACCACCATCCAGAAGGGAATTCAAAGATATATATGTTGTCTTTGAACTTATGGAATCTGATTTACACCAGGTTATTAAAGCAAATGACGATTTAACACCAGAACATTATCAGTTCTTTCTTTATCAGCTTCTTCGAGGCATGAAATACATACACACAGGTAGTTTCATACTTTGTAATGACCTTGTTCGCAGTACATTTACAAGATTTAGCATTACTGCAGATTCTTTTTACCTCAAACTCAATTGGATCATGACAATACTGGTTCTGATTTTCTTTATATATTGGTTTTTGTAGCAAATGTCTTTCACCGAGATCTAAAACCCAAAAATATCTTAGCAAATGCTGACTGCAAGCTCAAGATCTGTGACTTTGGTCTTGCAAGAGTAGCTTTCAGTGATACTCCTACCGCTATATTTTGGACAGTAAGTTTCTCATTTAATAACTTGTGAGTTTCAATTTCCACATGGTATCAGATTTCAATGTTCTCTGCAATGTAAGTTGTTCAGGTCTCATCTATAACTTTCTCTTATCTATGCAGGACTATGTCGCCACAAGATGGTACAGGGCCCCTGAATTGTGTGGATCATTTTTCTCAAAGGTGCAAGAATAATTATCCCTTTCATTATTTTGGATGCAGTTTGATCTTTTCATCTGGTATTGTAGTTGTAGCTCCGTGTGCTATAATGATTCTTTAAGAAGTTTCCAACTGATTTCTTTTTGTGTGTGTGTGTGTTATTGTCCCATTGCATGTAATGCTTCTTCATCTCTTCTTTTCTCCAATTCACTTCTAATTTTGCAGTGAACATTAGCGCTGTGGGGATCTCACCATCTGCCCCTTTCTCCTTAACTTATTTTCAGTAGATTTAGGACATTTTATTTAATCTATTGTCATGGTTTGTAGCCTACAAGGAACTCAGCTCCTACCTAATATGCACTAGCAATCCTATATTGGTATTTTTTCTTCTGTTGGAAAAGAAATTAATTAATTAATTTTGGCATGCACTGGCAATCCTAATATGCACTAGCAATCCTATATTGTTAACCCTTTTGCTAACCAAGGCTTTGCCTGGAAAACAATACTGCATCTGTAACCCTTCCTATAATGGGTGCCGTTTGGCAGATTGTTAATAATTTTATACAATATAATATTAGAATGAGCCATACCTTCACTATCTTCTATGAAAATCTTTCTTTGGTTGGCCTTCCATTGTCTGCGAGGTTAACATTCCCAACTATTAGATATTGGAAGTACGTGTACTTCCTATATGGCATTGAACAGTAACCGTTTTAAGTTAGGTCATGCAGTCACCAATCATAGCCATCTCAGTCTACTGCAATGAATGTGTTCGTTTTACTTCTTCCTT